CAACGCCGCCAACGCCTCCTCTAACGACGCGTATTTCTTCGGGGATTTCGCTTTCTTCGCCGGTTTCTCCACTTCCTCAGCGGGTTTCTCGACCTCAGCGGCACTCTCGCGAGAACTGGATCTCGACCCGGATCGGGATCTTGACCTTTTCCCACTCGGTTTGACTGTAGCCTTCGTAGCCTCTGTAGTCTCGTCGCCAAACTCTATGAAGTCGTCGCTATCACTGGAACTACCCCTTGGTTTCGATGGCTTGGATTTTTTAGCCGGTTCTACGTATTCAGGGTCAGTGTCTTCACCGGATCTGTATCTGGAGTAGTCGGACATAGGGCTGAGTACGGCGCTGGCTTTGGAGCTCGAGGTGGAACTGGAACTGGGGCTTGACCCTGACCTGGCTCTCTTACTGGCCTTTTTCTTAACCTCAGCCTCAGCAGTCTCACTCTCACCCACTTTAGGTCCAAACGGGTAGACGAGTTCCGGTTCCCGGATGGAGCCCTCACTGGAGTCATCGCTGGATTCAATGAATTCCTTGCTTTTATAGATTTTCGTTGTCGGTAGAAACGACATTTCCCTCGGCTTCCGACTCTTACTCTCACCCTTACCCTTACTCTCACCCTTACCCTCACCCTCACCCTTACCCTTACTTTTACTCGAACGGAAACCAGGACCACGTGTCCACTTAGACATATCTTGGGATTATCTGTTGTTCTGGATGTATGGCTGAAAGTTGTTGTGTCGATGGTTTGATAGTTTTGTAGCAAATTTGTGGTGTTTTCATAAATTTATTCAAAAATGAGTGATTTTGAGAAATGTTTTGTTCAAAATGTTTTGTTAAATTCTGAGTTTTGGCTAAAATATTTGTTTACAAGTATGTAGTGTATACAAGTTTATAAGATTTAGTGACTAACTTGAAATTCACTTTATATGAGAAATTATAAAAACAATTAATCAGAAACTGTAAATGAACAATTAGGTGAGTGTTAATTAGTGTTTTTTGCTTACTTATTTATTAGTAGTTTATAAATTATACAGTACTAGACTCATGTAACATGTCATGTTTATAATTATCGCGAGCATTTTTGTGACTAATAATTAAAGTGAGTGAGTTAGCTATTGTTGCCCTAACTTACTTATTTATTAGTAGTTTATAAATTATACAGTACTAGACTCATGTAACATGTCATGTTTATAATTATCGCGAGCATTTTTGTGACTAATAATTAAAGTGAGTGAGTTAGCTATTGTTGCCCTATAAAAAAGTTGCTTTACTAATAATAAAAAGAATTGAAATAAAATAATTTATTATTTAAAATTAGCAAATTATCGCGAGCATTTTTGTGACTAATAATTAAAGTGAGTGAGTTAGCTATTGTTGCCCTATAAAAAAGTTGCTTTACTAATAATAAAAAGAATTGAAATAAAATAATTTATTATTTAAAATTAGCTACCAAAAAATCTTTTTGTATTTATAGATTTTAGTGATTTTGTTATTTATATCATAATTCGTTTATTAAATACTTATTTAAAAATTAGAAATGAGACTAACATTAATCATTTTGTTAATATCGTCAACACATCCTAATATAAAGAGTCAGGACCAGGGATTGTGTCCATTCATACAAACCAATGGCAATTATAACGGTCTTCAAATGTACCGGCGCTGGGAGTTTACCCCTCCGGGATCTGACGAATTGAAAGGATTTATCGGTATTATGTATACCAAACGAATTTGCTGGCACTTCAAGCTTGAGAAACGGATCATTTGTGGTGAAAGTGGATCCACTGGATGTCCATCAAATGGATGTGAATTTGATCAACAGATTTTCAATTTATGGCAAACACGATGGAAACCAGAAATTTACCGCCAGTTTTGATATGGAATACGTGGTAAGGGATGCCCTAATTGACACAATTACTTATGTATGGTATGAATAGGACACACAAAACGGTACACATCTGCATATTACTAACGAAGCCGACCTGGAGCTAAGGGTTTATTACCCGGACTTTCAATACAACGCAACGGATATCATATTCTGTCCCACAGGCCTTCACCCGAATAACTATGTTATGGTTTTAGACAAACATACCGGCGCTGTGCAGACATATAAAGTTGATATCCCATCGATGACTTACTTAGTGTTCAGTCGTGTCAATGACAGCGAGTGTGAGAACTCTAACATAAGTTGTAATAAACCGCAATTCTTGGACACAATTCCCGATTCTTTACGCAAACAATTGGAGGCAATCATGGATTATAGTGAACCTGGAGTTTCCGGACACTTGTTGTGGTTTAACATCAACGGGCGTCCTATGTATTGCTTCACTCACGATAACCACCCATTGTCAGCTCAGGTAGTATACGATTATTGATAATTAGACTTAAATTAAATTAAATTTAATTTGAAGTGTAATTCAGAGGCAACTCTCACTCCGTTTGCAACCGAATGCTTCACTTCTGGTCAGACAATTGATTATACAAAACGTCTGACATCTGGTGATACAAACGACCCGACAGTTAATCCCAATTCAAGTAGTGAACCTAATAAACCCAATGAACCCACAATTAAATCCAAACCAAATGTGGGTTTAACTGTAAAACCTACTAAACCGGTGAAAGAAATTGGTTCCCAAGCAGTCATACATAAAATCACTTTCTCATTGAATTTATTACTATTTTTATTATTAGTTATATTGGTTTGAATAAATTGAAGACAATATTTATTTTCTTAATAAAATTTAAAATATTTTTAATGCAAATGTTTATAAAGTGTCGAGTTATGAATACAGTATATAAATAATGGTCTCATTTAATGTTAAATTCAGTACAAGTGTTGTTTCAATGTTTGCGTTTAATTAGTCTTTTACTGGGCTGTGGCTGTTGTTTAGCTAAACATATATTTATGGAAATAATTAAGAAATTAGAAAATTGTTTATAAATCTTACGAATAAACTCATGTTACCCTTTGGTGGTATTGACATATAGAAAGTGACCCCGTATATAATCAAGGCGATAATCGATACAATGATAACTATAATAATGACATAAAATGCCGGTGTAGTGAAGAATGATTTTGCGTCACCTTCGCTGGCCTCAGATGTCTGTGCGCTGTGATCGGCATCTGTGGTCATATGAGGTGCTGTATCGACTGTAGTAGTGAATTGAGTGGTTATCTTATGTGGAGTCTCATCTGAACTCTTGTGCGGGGGATTTGGAGGTTTTGGCACCACTTTAGTTGTACTTTTTATATCATAGCAGTGAAAAAACTCCTTGATGCTACCCTGTTTTACGTCAAAATTATTTTTTGCAGAGAGAGAGAGAGAGAGAGAGAGAGGATGCAAACCTCGTAATGATAGGGCATATTTCGGGTGAACCTCAGTATATCAGAACCGTCTGTTTTGATGCCATACTGAGTGGAATCCAATTCAAACATCCCTTTGAGGCCCAGTAGGGACTTGATCTGCCACTGATCCCATTGCCCAGTGTTCTCGTTCAGCCTTCGTGACCATAGGGTGTAGTTATCCATACCGTTCTCAATCTCCACAAACATCCGGTTATCATATGTGCCAAACGCTCCGCTGTAATACCACTGTTCGGGTGATTTAAGTT